TGTGCAGCAACGAAGACCCAGCACCAACCAATAATAAATGAATAAATCTTAAAAAAAAAAAAAAACTGAATTTCCCTGGCATACAACCTAACACCCTGAGAACAAAGACTCAGCAGGAAAAGTCCTGTCTTGTCCAGACCAAGTCCCACAGGAAAATCACGTACGCATAGGTAATTGTAATATAAGGGAAATGTACCCTAGGAGAAAACATGGAGAGCTATAACTATTTTGTCTGCTGTATCACTGAGCTTCTAACACCTGGGCATGGATGAGATACAGGTTTTATTCTAGAGTCCTAAATCTGGCTAAAGGACAATGTTTGATCTCTTTTTGCTCTCTTGTCTCAGGACAGAGCTTCAGTCTCTATCACCAACCATCTACTAAGAGATTTCAGACTTCCAGGCAGTTAACTTCCTCTCAGAGTTCCCATGCAGGTGAGTCCAAGAGCCCAAAAGACACTGCTGGGAAGGGTCAGAGAGAAAGAAGTAAAGCATGTCTGCATGAGGTCACCTGAGAATCAATTCAGCCTAGCCCAGAACCCAGAAAACTGTTTGTTTTCTTGCTTAATTAAATATCAATGTACTTGAATAATGCTAAAAGTGAAGGAAAAACTGAAAGCAGTAAGGCAGTGTTCAGTGATGCTAATTAAATGATAGGAAATCAAGCACAATTAGAAGAGCAAAGAGAGGTTAAAGTGCTTTCAGTAAAAGTAGGACATATGCTGCATTAGCAAATACTTCCTTCTGTTGTGAGAGCTGTCTTTTCATCTTGCTTATGGTTTCCTTTGCTGTGCAAGTTTTTAAGTTTAATTAGGTCCCATTTCTTTATTTTTGTTTTTATTTTCGTTACTCTAGGAAGTGGGTCAAAAAAGATCCTGGGTGATTTTTGTCAAATAGAGTTCTGCCCTGTTCTCCACTAAGAGCGTTATACTGTCCAGCCTCACATCTACGTCTTTAATCCATTTTGAGCTTCTTTTTGTGTATGGTGTTAGAGAGTGTTCTCATTTCATTCTCATATGTGTCACTGTCCAGTTTTCCCAACACTACTTATTGAAGGGACTGTCTTTTCCCCACTGTATATTCTTGCCTACTATGTCAGAGATTAGATGACCGTAGGTACTTAGGTTTCTCTCTAAGATTGTTGTCCTGTTCCATTGACCTATATGTCTTTCTTTGTGCCAATACCATATTGTCTTGATTACTGTAGCAGAGCTTTGCAATAGAGTCTGAAGTGAAGGAGCCTAACTCCTCCAACTCCATTTTTCTTTCTCAAGACTTCTCTGGCTATTCTGAGCCTTTTGCGTTTCCAGACAATTTGTAAAATTTTTTTTTCTAATTCCATGAAAAATGCCATCAGTAACTTGATAAGGATTATGCTGCATCTGTAGATTGCTTTAGGTAGTCTAATCATTTTCACATTATTGAGTAATACTCTTCCAATCCAAGAACAAGGTTATTCTCTCCATCTATCACCTTTGATTTCTTTCATCACTGTCTTAGAGTTTTCTGAGTATAGATATTTTGCTTCCTTGGGTATGTTTCTTCCTTGATATTTTATTCCTTTTGTTGCAGTGGTAAATGAGATTGTTTCCTTAATTTCTCTTTCTGATCTTTTGTCATTAGTGTATAGGAATGTTAGATGTTTGTGTATTAGTTTTGTATCCTGCAACTTTACCAAAGTCATGCATTAGCCCTAGTAGTTTTCTGGTGGCATCTTTAAGGTTTTCTATGTGCAGTATATGCAACCAGTAATATGCAATTAGCAATAGCTTTATTTCTTCTCAATCTAGATTCCTTTTATTTTCTAACCAATTTTATTGAAACAAATTTCATCATGTAAACTCAACCATGCAGAAAATCAATGTTTCAATAAGTAAGATTTTAGCAGCTGAAATAGAAGCATTTGTTAGTGCACTGTTTGCTTTTTGAAACCTCTAATTCCTCAGAATGATCCTGTTTTTTAGAATTCCATATTTAGTATCGATTTATGCCAGGTAAGATTACATATTAAAAACATCTATAAAGATTCTACAGTTTTACACTGTGGGTTGCTATGCAGACAAGAAAAATAAGTTAAATAATACGAAAGGTATGCAAGATATGGGCTTCCCAGGTGGTTCAGTGATAAAGAATCTGCCTGCCAATGTAGGAGACACAGGTTCAAGCCCTATGCACAGGGCTTGTCCCCTGGACACAGGTTCACCATATGCAGTGATTTTGGAGCCCCCAAAAATAAACTCTGCCACTGTTTCCACTGTTTCCCCATCTGTTTGCCATGACCTGATGGGACCAGGTGCCATGATCTTAGTTTTCTGAATGTTGAGCTTTAAGCCAACTTTTTCACTCTCCTCCTTCACTTTTATCAAGAGGCTCTTTAGTTCTTCTTCACTTTCTGCCATAAGGGTGGTGTCATCTGCACATCTGAGGTCATTGATATTTCTCCTGGCAATCTTGATTCCAGCTTGTGCTTCTTCCAGCCCATTATTTCATATGATGTACTCTGCATATAAGTTAAATTAGCAAGGTGACAATATACAGCCTTGATGTACTCCTTTTCCTATTTGGAATCAGTCTGCTGTTCCATGTCCAGTTCTAACTGTTGCTTCCTGACCTGCATACAGACTTTTCAAGAGGCAGGTCAGGTGGTCTCTTGAAGAATTTTCCACAGTTTATTGTGATCCACACAGTCAAAGGCTTTGGAATAGTCGATAAAGCAGAAGTTGATGTTTTTCTGGAACTCTCTTGCTTTTTCGATGATCCAGCGGATGTTGGCAATTTGATCTCTGGTTTTTCTGCCTTTTGTAAATCCAGCTTGAACATCTGGAATTCATAGTTCATGTACTGTTGAATCTTGGCTTGAAGAATTTTGAGCGTTACTTTACTAGTGTGTGAGATGAGTGCAATTGTGCAGTAATTTGAGCATTCTTTGGCATTGCCTTTCTTTGGGGTTGGAATGAAAACTGACCTATGAAGGTCATTTTTTTTTTATCATGTCATTGTTCATCTCAGATGTTGATTAAGGTTTCAAGAATGATGACAGTGGGTTTTGAAAACAGTCTTATACTTGTTGGTTTGTAGTTTCACAGAGATAAGTATATTTCACGGTTAATTGTTGAGCTGTAAGACAACTAACCAGGCTACCCAAGTAACTCAGTGGTAAAGAATCCACCTGCCAATGCAGGAGATGAGGGAGATGCCTGTTTGATCCCTGAGTCAGGAAGATCCCCTGGAGAAGGAAATGGCACCCACTCCCAGTATTCTGGCCTGGAAAATCCAATGGACAGAGGAGCCTGGCCAGCTACAGTCCATGCAGTCACAAAGAATCAGACACAACTGAGCAATTGGGCAGGTACCTAAGACAACTAACCATTTAAAACTGAAAAACAGTTCATTGTTTTGTAACAATTCAGTTTTTAAACATAGACATTTCGATTAAAACATGAATTGCATTTATAACTCAATGCAAATCCAACAGTTGTATTTGGAGTTAAATTATTTTTAAAAACTTATTTAATGAAAAATTAAAAAATAAATAAACATGGATTACAATTAGTACTCCCTTTTCACTCTCTCCTTTATATCTTTTTTTTTTTTTCTGAAAATCCAGTTTATTTTCCATGTGGACAGATCCAGTCAGTGTGATCAGTTTTCTGCATGTGTAATAATTTATCAAAATAAGTTTTCCCACAAGACTCTTTCCCATCAACTCTGAAAATCCTGGTCTTACAACATACCCAAATAAAGCTCTTGAAAATCACCTCCTTAAATTTGGAAGAAAGTGTGGCAAGTCTTTCCTGTTATATTTACTGAACTACACATGGCTAAAGAGCAATTTATGTTTTAAAACGTGACTAGCACAACAGTTGAGTTCAGGAGATTAACGTTTTAGTTTTAGTGCACTTTGCTCCAGTTTTAGCCAACATGCTACATTGTCCTTTTTTGGGGGCGGGGCGGGGAGGCTGGGGACAGCGCCACACAAAGTGGACTTGAGGATTTCCATTGTACGAAAAGATATGACTCTGCAAGCAGAACAGTGTAAGCTGCCTTTTTTCTTAAGACCTGGACATTTTAAGACAGAAGCTTTGCAAAACATTACACAATTTTTTTATTATTAAATGAGAAACTCTCATTTGTTACATCGTCACATTGCTAGTCAGAGAAATGCTGCAGTGATGAAGAAAGTCAATGTTGGATCAACCAAAGTCGCCTTTTCTTTTTCTTTTTTTTAATATCTTATTTGTTTATTTGGGCTGCTCTGGGTCTTTGTTGCTGCATGTGGGTTTTCTGTCGTTGCAGCGAGCAGGGGCTACTCTTCATTGTGGGACACGGACTTCTCATTGTGATGGCTTTTCTTATTGCAGGGCAGAAGCTCTAGATGCACGGGCTTCCGTCGTTGGAGCCCATGAGTTCAGAAGTTGTGGCACACAGGCTTAGCTTCTCAAAGACAAATGTGATCTTCTCAGACCAGAAATCAAAGCCATGTCCCCTGCATTGGCAGGCATATTCTTAACCACTGGACCAAGGGAAGTCTTTCTTTTTCTTTTTCTTTTTCTTCATAACACATGTAACTATCTGACATGCTATATGATTTTTATTTGCTTATGCTTTTTCTCCATAATTGAATTTTAGGAGTTTTTGTTTTTCAGCACCCCTACACTCCCTGCATAGGTGGTACCTGGAATATTGTTGAAATTCAATTTGTGTTTTTAAAATGCATAAAAGAATTTCTCTTTAAACAATAAGTAAAGATTATTGTTTTTTATTTTTTATTGCTTTATTTTCTTTTTATTGTTGGGGCTTGGAAATGAGAGTAAGAGAAGTTTGCTAATTATAGATGACACAAGGAATTCTCTAAAGGGAATCAAAGCCATCAACAAAATATTGAAATTAATTTATTGTTGGCAAAATATAGAATAGTTATATTTCAACAATGTGATAATGGCCATTTGCAAGGAATGCAGTCATGTTATTGTCCCCTTTCCTGATAGTCACTTCCACAAAATGGAACCAAGGAACATAACAGGAGTTTCACAATTTCTTCTTATGGGATTTTCAGAAGAAACAGAATTGCAGCCCCTCATCTTTGGGCTTTTCCTCTCCATGTATCTGATCACTGTGTTTGGAAACCTGCTCATCATCCTGGCTGTCAGCTCAGACCCCCACCTCCACACCCCCATGTACTTCTTCCTCTCCAACCTGTCCTTTGTAGACATCTGCTTCACCTCCACCACCATCCCAAAGATGCTGGTGAATATACAGACAGAGAACAAAGTTATAACTTATGAAGGCTGCATTATCCAGATGCATTTTTTCACACTCTTTATAGGATTGGACAGCTTCCTCCTGACCGTGATGGCCTATGATCGCTTCGTGGCCATCTGCCGTCCCCTGCACTACACGGTCATCATGAACCCCCGTCTCTGTGGAGTGCTGGTGCTGGTGTCCTGGATCATGAGTGCGCTGCATTCCTTGTTAGAAAGCTTAATGGTGTTGCGACTGTCCTTCTGTACTGACTTGCATATCCCTCACTTTTTCTGTGAACTCAATCAGATGATCCAGCTTGCCTGTTCTGACATGTATCTCAATAAAGTAGTGATATATATTGTAGCTGTGCTACTGGGAGGTGCCCCTTTTGCTGGTATCTTTTACACTTACTCTAAGATAGTTTCCTCCATACATAGAATCTCATCAGCTCAGGGGAAGTATAAGGCATTTTCCACCTGTGCATCTCACCTCTATGTGGTCTCCTTATTTTATTGTACTGGCATAGGAGTGCACCTTAGCTCTGCTGCTTCCCACAGCTCACACTCAAGTGTAACAGCCTCAGTGATGTACACTGTGGTCACACCCATGCTCAACCCTTTCATCTACAGTCTGAGAAATAACGAGTTAAAGAGGAGTCTGAAAATACTCTTCGGAAAGGAAACTATCAAAGAGCCTATTGTCCTAGGGCTTAAGAAGTGCCCACGACAGTAGAGTTCAAAGCCTGAGCCCAGTGTTGCTAGGCTTTGAGCAGACTGTGGAATTAGAACATGCCTCTTCTGTTTTCATTCAAATCTCTGCTTTGGCTTTGACTCTATACAATCCACGTAACTCGCTCTTAAGTTTTATGATATCTCTGATACCTAAACGTTTTTTTCCTTTGCCATTTTCTTACTCGCCCAATTTTGTTACCAAACTTGTGTTTGGAACAAATGAAAGTTCCCATTTATTTCAAGGGGCTACATGAATTCCCTAGGAATAATTTCTTCTCAAATATAATATGTCATTTTGTATATTTTTTTCTTTCATTTGACTAAAAAAAAGAATAGTCATGAATTGTACTGTGTGTGCTCAGCTGCTCTGTCATGTCCAACTCTGAATACCATGGACTGTAACCCACCAAGCTCCTCTGTCCATAGAATTTTCCAGGCAGAACACTGGAGCAGGTTGCCATTTCCTACTCCAGGGGATCTTCCCTACTCCTATGGTAAAAAAAAAAAAAAATTACTCTTGATAATCACAGCTATTTATAACAGAGGAAAATCTGAGATCACTATTTTTCACTTTTGTGAATGATATTTCTTTGCCTATCACTACCTTAATTGCTTTTATGATAACCCAAACTTTACCATACTGGTTGTTAACACTGATTATATGATATTTTTCTATGCTTCACAATCTTATTCTGCTGTACCACCTGTGTCCACTGTGTCTACCATACTTGCTGGCAAAAACTGATGTTAAACTAAATGTCTTCAAGTACAATCTATACAGAAAGACAAGCATGAAAAAGTATACCAGACTCCTTTGTCCATGGAATTCTCCAGGCAAGAATACTGGAATGGATTGCCATTCCCTTCTTCAGGGGATCTTTCAAATCCAGGAATCAAACCCAGATCTCCTGCATTGTAGGCAGATTCTTTACCATCTGAACCACCAGGAAAGCTCTCTATGACAGAGTTGACCTTAAGTATAATGAAGCAAAACATCAAATCATACATTTATCACTATGCAGTTCGAGTCTTTTCTGGCAATTCATCTTCTCATTGAAATAAGGACTATCAGTGTCCATTTGTAAGGTGTATTCATTGAGTTGAAGGACTGGAGGCATATTTTGAGTTTTTATTAGTTACTTTCATCTTTCTGTTCAAAACTTTCCAGTGCTTCCAGGAAATATCATTCCTTCCAATTTTCCTAAATGAAATATCTCCCACTCTTCAAAATTTTGTCACAAACACTGAAGGGGCAGAGAACAAACAATATCAATATCATGAATTATGTCTCACTCCCATACTTAAAGGATGACTCACTTCAAACCTCAGATTCTTGTTCAGGTATGTGATTCAAGGTCATAGGTGTTGTGCAAACATCTATGTCCTACCTCTCCATGTGACCTGAAAAGAACCTCAGTGAGGTCACTTTTTCATACAGTTATACAAAATAAACTTGAATAACAGAGAAGTCATGAACAAATGTCAGAACAAATGTCTGGAACCAGTAGAATCAGATTTTTGCAACAGCCTTCAGTTCAGTGCAATTTGTGTACTGTGCCAGTTAGCTGCCACTGGATACAAACTTTCCTACAATAAAACTGCTTAATAGAACATCTTTATTATCAAATGAGGTGGTCCAGTGAGGAGTTATTCTGATCTCTGCAGAGCTTCTCATGAGTCTACAGTCAGGCAGGAATCTCTATCTTGTGCTTCTAAGGCTCATCCATGATGCTGTGTGTGGCTATACTGTTCTTCCACCTTCAACTAATTTTTGTCATTTTACTTTTTTAAACATGTAGGCTAAATTCTTGCAGAAAAATGAGCTTAATAAGGGTGAATTGCCTTAATTTAATTCCACTACTTTAATATCTACTTATGAAATTTATTTTTCCCAATTAGAGAGACATTTCCTTTCCCTGTGAGCTGTGACTCAGCTACCTGTGCTCCAGATCCTATGCCTGCATGCACACTGGAATTAATAAATACTAATAAATATATTCAAGCATGGCTACATGCAATAAGCTGTACCCCTTTAAAAGTCATTAAAAACTTAAAAGTATACACTGCCTGGTTCTATTTCTACACATCTTGAGAAGAAATAAAACATTTACTGCATTGTTATCAGTTCAGTTCACTTCAGTCATTCAGTCATGTCTGACTCTTTGTGACCCCATGGGCTGAAGCACACCAGGCCTCCCTGTCCATCACCAATTCCCAAAGCTTGCTCAAACTCATGTCCATTAAGTCGGTGATGCCTTCCAACCATCTCATCCTCTGTACATCCCCATCTCCTCCTGCCTTCAATCTTTTCCAGCATCGAGGTCTTTTCCAGTGAGTCAGTTCTTCACATCAGGGGACCAAGTATTGGATTTCAGCCTCAGCATCAGTCCTTCCAATGAATTCAGGACTGATTTCCTTTAGGACTGACTGGTTTGATCTCTTTGCAGTCCAACAGACTCTCAAGAGTTTTCTCCAACACCACAGTTCAAAAACATCAATTCTTCAGTGCTGAACTTTCTTCAAGATCCAACTGTCACATCCATACATGACTACTAGAAAAACCATAGCTTTGTTGGCAGAGCAATGTCTTTGTTTTTTAATATGCTGTCTAGGGTGGTCACAGCTTTTCCTCCAAGAAGCAAGTGTCTTTTAATTTTATGGCTACAGTCACTGTCTGCAGTGATTTTGGAGCCCAAGAAAATAAAGTCTACCATGGTTTCCATTGTTCCCCCATCTATTTGCCATGAAGTGCTGGGACTGGATGCCATGATCTTAGTTTTTCAGATGTTGAGTTTTAAGCCAATTTTTTCACTCTCTTCTTTCACTTTCATTAAGAGGCTCTTTAGTTCTTCTTTGCTTTCTGCCATAAGGGTGGTGTCATCTGCATATCGGAGGTTATTGATATTTCTCCTGGCAATCTTGATTCTAGCTTGTGCTTCATCCAGTCCAGCATTTCTCATGATGTACTCTGCATACAAGTTAAATAAGCAGGGTGACAATATACAGCCTTGGTGTACTCCTTTTCCAATTTGGAACCAGTCCATTGTTCCACATCCATTTCTAACTGTTGCTTCTTGACCTGCATACAGATTTCTCAGGAGGCAAGTAAGGTTGTCTGGTAGTCCCATCTCTTGAAGAATTTTCCACAGTTTGTTGTGATGCAAACAGTCAAGGCCTTTGGGATAGTCAATAAAGCAGAAGTAGATTTTTTTCTGGAACTCTCTTGCTTTTTCTATGATCCAACACTATATTTTGCACTGCTATATATTGTTATAAATGTAATCTCACTGATCTCTGTTTCTTTACTTCTGTTGGTACCAAGGAATAATAACATATAACATGAACATAATAATAATGTATGATAATAAACATAATTTCTCAAGTATGCTGTAAAAAAAGAAATCTGTAAAAATATTTATGTAACTAAAAGGAAACATTCAAGTATAAGAGGTACGTGTGTGAGATGAGCATTTTATGTCTATATTTTCCTCTCAAACAAACACATTCACACACACATAAGTACATGCATGCAGTCATTTATAATCCCATTTATTTTATTGAAAGAATATTTTACCAAAAGTTGGAGAATAAAGAAATGAAAATAATGAATGTCTGAATCAACATGAAATTCAAGGAATGTAGAAATTTAGACAAAAAGATTTAAAGTAGATTGTGTGACCTTGCTTTTGATATAAGTAACTTGTCATAAAGGCCTCAAAATCAGAAACACATTTATATTTATGGAAAACAGAATTCGATCCACTAACTAATAAGGCAGGTATTTTTGACCCTAATTTTCTTCTCCCGTTAAAGTGGGGTTTCATGCAAATTCCTTTATCAAGGGAAAATTAAATGTCTAAATTGAGAAGCTCAAAAGTGACTATATTTTATTGGATAAATGTGTGTATTGCATTTGTATTTCTGCTGTAACAAATTACTACACTGTGCTTTTAAAAATTGAAGTTCTAAGGATCAGAAGCCCATATTCCTCTTATTGGACTGAATTCAAGATGCTAAAACTGAGGCCTATCTGGACACTCTAGGGAAGAATAAATTTTCTTTCTTGAATCACATTCTAGGGGCCACCTGTACTCCTTGTCCCAAAACTGGTTTGTAATTTTCACCAGAACATTGAATATCCCGGAGCCCCAATCCTGAAATGGAGGGTGAAGTTATAATAGTGCTACCTCACAAAAGGAACTTCTCTAAACATTAAACCAGATCATCCCTATAAGATTCTAAGGTAGGTTATGGTTGCTTGATGAAATCTATCTCACAGCTTACATGCATTTTTAATTAGAGGCTAATTGATAACACTTAATTTCAGACATGTGGGTTTCCCTAGTGGCTCAGACAGTAAAGAATTTGCCTGCGATGTGGAAGACCCAGGTTTGATCCCTGGATTGTGAAGATCCCCTGGAGAAGGGAATGGCAACACCCTCCAGTATTCTTGCCTGGAGAATTCCAGGGACAGAGGAGCCTGGAGAGATACAGTCTGAGTTTGTGAAGAGTTGAGCACAACTGAGTGACTAAAATGAAATTCCTGAAGGTTTTAGCAAAAGTGTCAGGAAGCTGAAGAGTATACTGTCCAATGTTTTACATTCAAGGAACAAAGCTGTCCCTCTTATAAGGTGGGGAATAATAACTTTCTAAGCATATCATGGGCTATACCCCCACCACAAGTCAATGCTTTGGAGATCCAAGGAACCAATTCAAGACAATTGCCTCAGTCTAACATGTTGGAGAATCTTAGAAATAGTGTTGGTATAAGGTGCTGAGAGATTAGACCTCTGGAAGGCAACTAAGTTAATGGAGAAGTGTTAATAAAAACTGAATTCTCCTGGCTTATAACCTGGTCCCCTGAGAACAGAGCATCAGAAGAAAAAAGATTCTTTCTGTACAGACCAAGTGCCATAGGGATTCTTCTGCTTATAGGTCATTATAACAAGAGGGAATGCACCTAATAAGAAGACAGAGAGAGCTGTAAATACCTCCTCTGTTTCATCCCTGAGCTTGTACAACCTGGGCATGATTGAGACACAGTTTTTGCTTTTGGAGTCCTACATCTGGCTAAAGGATCAATGATTGACCACTTCCTGCTGCCTTGTCTGAGGACAGAGTTTCAGCCTCTATCATCAACCATCAGGAAGAGAATCAGACTTCCACATGGAGACCTTCCTCTCAGAGTTCCCATGCAGGTGAGTCCAAGAGCCCAAAAGACCTATAGGGAAAGGTCAGAGAGTATGAAATCCAAGGATGTTTACTGGAGGTCACCTGAGAACCAGCTCAGCCTAGCCAAGAGCCGAGAAACGACAATAGTTGTTTGCTTGCTTGCTTAAAATATCAGTGTATTTTGATGACCCTGTAAAGAGACATGAACATTGAATTCAGTCAGGCAACATTCAGTGATGCCAATTAAATGATAGAAATGGAAACTCATGTAGAAGAGAGATGAGAGGAATAGAGTTTCCAGTAAATATATAACCTATGTGCAAGTATCTTATTAATTAACTGGAGTAGAGAAGTAGGGTATTAGCTATGGAGGGACATAAAATGAATTAAAGACGTTTCTTCCTAATTTTTATCATGGGGCATATTTAACCAAGTTTCCATATTGATGAGAATAAACCACACCAAAGAATGCTTATAAGCTCAACTTTGCAACAACAGAACACATTCTTCACAGCCTAAGAGGCATATTTTCACAGTGTCTGTTGTGACATAAGTGAAAAAAAAAAGATAAGAGCTAAAAAAGGGTACACTAATGATCTTACTTTGCAATTATTTCCATGACTCCAAATACATATGTGGGTTTGTCAGCCATTTACATTCTCAATTTCAAATCACCTACGTGAGTCCTCTGCTTTAAGTTGGGTTATTTGTCTTTTTGTTAAGTTGTCTCAGTTCTTTCTTAAAACACTTGCTTTGAGGTAACTTTGACATAGAAATATTGTACATATTTGAGGTATATATAATATTTTTATATATTGATATGAATAAATTTTGTAAAGATCATCAAATCAAGCTAATTGTCATGTCCATCACCTCTACAAGTTTCTGATTGTGTATTTGTGTGTGTATGTTGAAAGGATTTAAGATCATCAAATTTATCAAATTTGAATCTTTCAAATCTTATCAAACTTCAAGGAGTAAGCCCTTTGCTTTCATATGGTAGGATCAGGGAACTTTTACTCCTGTCTTTGACCAAAATGTTTCAAAAAAGATGTATTTAAAAATACATCTTTTTTTATTCAAAAAAATAGAGAATGTAAGTGGCTATAAAAAGCACCTCTGCTTTTTCTTTTATTACCAAGTTGTTAGCAATTTAATTTTAAATTATGACTTATTGATTTAGTTAAATTATCACTATTTCATCTGCTTATATAATTTGCTTGTAGATTTTGATTCCATTTTGTTACATAAATTGTTTTGAAACTAATCTACTTAACCTAAGTTCATTCTTACTGATATTTTCCCCATTAGTTTTTAGTTTATTTTAAAGCTTCTTTCTATATTATGCACACATACATACACATACTTTTATACAAAAGTGGCAATAGAATTCTATACATATTGTAAATGCTGTTTATGTTTGATTTCATCATTTTTCCTAACTTTCCATTTTCCTTCTTACTCAAAATACCTTACTGAAAACCCTGCTTCCAGTCACCAGGATGATGATGATTCATTATTTTTATGGCTATATAACATTTCATGGTGTTATAACTTCAATGGCCATTCATATTCTCTTTTTTATTAAACTTGTTATTCTGTATTGGAGTATAGCCAATCCACAATGGTGTGATAGTTTCAGGTGGACAGCAAAGGTACTCATTCAAACATATACAGGTATCCATTCTCCCCACACTCCCTCTCATCCAGGCTTCCACACTGAGCAGAGTTCCATGTCCTACACAGTAGGTCCTTGTTGGTTTTCTATATTCTTTTTCATTAAATTGCTATTATATCAACGAAGCAGAATTTTTTACAATAGTGAAGCACAGACTGTGGATGACTTTGTCCCCCCAGGGTTCATCTAGCAATATCCAGAGACTTTTATGGCTGTCGTACATGGAGGCTCAGCAAAGCTCAGGGGTGCTCTAAGCATCCTACAGTTCACAGGACACATTCCACCACAAACAGTGATCTGGATCAGAATGTCAGTCATGCCAACACTGGAGAATCTGAGTTAAAGACTGTTGCCGTTATCATTTAACCACTCAGTTGTATCCGACTTTTTTGTGACTCCATGAACTGTAGCCCACCAGGCTCCTCTGTCCATGTATTTCCCAGGAAAGAGTACTGGAGTGGGTTACCATTTCCTTCTCCAGAGGATCTTCCTGATCCAGGGATCAAATCACGTCTCCCACATTGGCAGGTGGATTCTTGACTGCTGAGCCACCATACGTGTACTTTGAATATTTATAGCTGTCTACAGGTATTTTCCTAAGATGTTATAACACTTCACATCTGCCAGAAAATTCAGAAAGTACTAGTTCAAAAGTTCTCATCCCAAAATGTAACAAATCTTTTTTTCCTAGCAGTATGCTAGGAAAAAGATTTCTTGTTTTTTAACTGTATACCAAGTTAAAACAAACATTTATACATTTTGTCATCATTTTATTTGTTATTATGCACCCAATACTATATGCCAACTTTCCTGCAGTTATCAGCCTTTCAAATCATTTTTACAAGTGAATTATTTTTCAGTTGAGTTTGGGTACTCAGGAGACCTAAAATTTTAAATTTTTATTCTGTTGTATATGTCTGTTTTACTATCCGCCTTTCTGCCTTATTTAAAATGTTTTCCCCAACTCATCGGGTTTTGTTAATTTTACCTGTTTACTTATTTATTTTTGGCTGCGCTGGGTCTTCGTTGCTGCGAGTGGGCTTTCTCTAGTTGTGGCCAGCAGGGGCTGCTCTCAAGCTTCAGTGCACAGTCTTATTGCTGTGGCTTTTCTTGTGGGCCTTTGTGGTGCACAGGCTTCAGTAGTTGTGGCACACGAGCTTGGAATATGGAATCTTCCCGGACCAAGGATTGAACCCTTGTCCCCTGATTTGGCAGGTGAATTCTTATCCATTGGCCCACCAGGGAAGTCCAACCCATAGCTTTTTTTTTTTTAATTGGAGGCTAATTACTTTACAATATTGTAGTGGTTTTTGCCATACATTGACATGAATCAGCCATGCGTATGCATGCTTTTATATGTAGATTTCAAGATGTTCATCTTCAATGTGTTTATTACTCTCACACTGAGGTGGTCATCTCTAATTTTTTTTAAAAATGTTGAAGGGAGGAAAGAAACTTTATTTTTTGCAATACAGATGTTTACACCTGCTTTTATCAGCAATTCAATCTTCCTCAATAAATTGAAATACACCCTTGCCATATTTTAAATGTTCATATATAATAAGACCTAAGTCCCAATTCTGAATAATAACTGATCATGCTATGTGCTCGAGCATTCTAGGAACATTATGTAGTGTTTCATTTTATATCTAGATCACTGGCAAATTAATTGATTCACACTGATATTGTAATTTATTACTATTTCAATGCTTGTTCAATTCATTTTCAATACTCCATTCAATTTACTTGTTTTGAAACCATTATTACTTAACCTGGTTTCACTCTTTTTGTTATTTTCTTTATTTCCTAACTTTTTATTTTTCTAAATTCATTTTTGTACAAGGTCGCATATATTTACAAACTCAATTAAAATACAAAGGTGAATTTTTTAAAAAGACATGATGGCACTTGCTGCAACATGAATGGACCTAAAGACTGTCATACTGAGTGAAGTCAGACATAAAGGAGAAATATCACATGGCATCTCTTATATGTGGAATCTAAAAAGAAATGATACAAATGAATTTGCAAAACAGAAGCATGAATAAACTTATGGTTGCCATATATATATATATATATATATATATATGTTTTAGTTATATATGTTTTATTTATACATATGTTTTATTTGAGGTAGTCTTTCTCCATGATGGGATTTTAGGAGATTTTGTTTTACAGAACCTTATCAGTTCAGTTCAATTCAGTTGCTCAGTCATATCTGACTGCCACCCCATGGACTGCATCACGCCAGGCTTCCCTGTCCATCACCAACTCCTGGAGCTTGTGCAAACTCCTTTCCGTCAAGTCTGTGATGCCATCCAACCATCTTATCCTCTGTCATCCCCTTCTCCTCCTGCCTTCAATCTTTCCCAGCATCAAGGTCTTTTCCAATGAGTCAGTTCTTCACATCAGGTGGCCACAGAACCCTATACACATTGCCAAATCCATGAACAAAATATTGAAATAAACTTTTTACAGCAAAATATAAATAGTGGCATTTCAGCAATGTGAGCGATGTCCGTTTGTACCATAATCCGTCATTTACTTTCCTCTTTCCTTGCAGTCACCTCCAACACATGGCACCAAGAAACATAACAGGAGTTTCAGAATTTCTTCTCATGGGATTTTCAGAGGATCCAGAATTGCAGCCTCTCATGTTCAGACTTTTCCTCTCCATGTACCTGATCACTGTGTTTGGAAACCTGCTCATCATCCTGGCTGTCAGCTCAGACTCACACCTCCACACCCCCATGTACTTCTTCCTCTCCAACCTGTCCTTGGTAGATATCTGTTTATCTTCCACCACCATCCCAAAGATGCTGTGGAACATCCAGACACAGAGCAAAGCTATCACCTATGAAGGCTGCATCACCCAGATCTATTTTTTCACACTCTTTGTAGTCCTGGACATCTTTCTCTTGACCGCAATGGCCTATGACCGCTTTGTGGCCATCTGTCACCCCCTGCACTACATCGTCATCATGAACCCTTGGCTCTGTGCACTGCTGGTGCTATTGTCCTGGATCATCAGTCTCCTGCATGCCTTGCTGGAAATCATAATTGTATTGCGGCTGTCATTCTGTACAGTCTTAGAAATCCCTCACTTTTTCTGTGAACTCAATCAGATGATCCAACTTGCCAGGTCTGTCATCTTTCTCGATAAAGCAGTAATGTATTTTATACCTCTGTTGCTGGCTGGTGGTTCCCTCGTGTGTATCCTTTACTCCTACTCTAAGATAGTTTCCTCCATATATGGAATCTCATCAGCTTGGGGGAAGTGTAAAGCATTTTCCACCTGTGTATCTCACCTCTCACTTGTCTCCTTATTTTATTGTACAGGCATAGGAGTATATCTTAGCTCTACTACTACCCACAGCTCACACTCAAGTGCAACAGCCTCAATATTGTACGCTGTGGTCACCCCCTTGCTGAACCCCTTCATCTACAGCCTGAGAAATAAAGACTTAAAGAGGGCTCTGATAAGACTATATGGAAAGAAAGCTATAAAATAATCTGTTATCCTAGGGCTTAAGAAATGTCCATGATAGCAGAGCTCAAATCCTGAGCCAAAAATTACTGGTATTTGGTACAACTGTGGGAGTAGAATACGGCTCTTCTATTTTCCTTGGAATTTCTATTTCAGCTTCTTCATACAACTTATATAGCTCCCTTTTAAGTTTGGTGATAGTCCTAGTATCCAAGAGTTTTTCCCTTTTTCATTTTTATACTCTCCCAACCTTAGATGTGAAATATTTGAAGACTCCCATTTATCTCAAGAGATCTCTTAAGAAAAATTTTTTCTCAAGTGAAATGTATCATGCTGAGGATTTTGTTTGTTTGACTAAAAGGATAGTTAAGAGCCATACCACTCCTATGGAGGGAAAACTCTTGGCAACCACAGCTATTTATAAGTTTATGACAGAGAAAAATTTGTGACCTCTGTTTGTCACAAACATCACTCCTTTTTGTATCACTACCTTATGCTTTTCTTGATAATCCAGACTTTAACGTGCTATTTGTTATCACAGATCACAGGTATTTTCTACTTGTTCAGATCATGTTCTGCTGTGTAACTTGTGTCTCCTATATCTACCATAGTAGTAGTGTTAGTCAGTTGGGTCCAACTCTTTGCGCCCCCACAGACTGTAGCCTGCCATCTGTCCATGGATTCTCCAGTCAAGAATACTGTAGTGAGTGGCCATTCATTCCCTTCTCCAGAGGATCTTCCTAACCCAGGGACTGAACTCAGATGTCCTGTGTTGCAGGCAGATTCTTTACCTTCTGAGCTACAGAGAAGTCCTTGTATCTACTATAAAGTGAAGTGAAGTCGCTCAGTCGTGTCTGACTCTTTGCAACACCATGGACTGTAGCCTACCAGGCTTCTCTGTCCATGGGATTTTCTAGGCAAGAATACTGGAGTGGGTTGCCATTTCCTTCTCCATGTATCTACTATAGTCACTGGCAAAAACTGATAATAAAATATGTTTTCAAGGAGCATCAAAAGAAGAAAATGACTATGAAAATGACTATGGATATAATATGGTGCTAGAACAGACCTGATCTTAAGTATGATGAAGCAAAACATTAAATGATACATTTATAACCTTGGAAAATATGTATTTTTCAGACAATTCGCCTACTCATTGAAAGATGATATAAAAGTGTCCATTTGTCATGTAATATGGGGGACAGAGGTTTGAGAGGGAGGGTATGTATGGCTACAGATAGCTGATTCACTTCATTGTACAGCAGAAACTAACATGACATTGTAAAACAACTATACCATAGTAATAAAAAAATAAATAAACTTGTGTAATTTTGTGCAAGCTAAAAACAGTGTCAATTTGTAAGGTGTACTTATTGAGCTGTAGGACTGGTGGCATGTTTGGCTTTTTTATTAAATTATTTTCATGTTTCTGTTTGAAAATTTCCAGTGCTTTCAGAAAATATAATTCCTTCCATTTGTCTAAATGAAATTGCTCCAATTATTCAAAATTTTGTCACAAACTCTAGAAGGGCAGAGAATGAACAATTTCAGCATCACCCATTAAAGTTCATGCTCGTTATCAAAAGATGACTCACTAGAAAGTTCAGATTCTGTTCAGCTAAATGATTCAGGGTCACAGGTGTTGTACAAACGTAACTGTCCTTCCAACCTCTCCATGTAACCTCAAAGGATCCTCAGTGGAGGCATGTTTTCACACCCTTATATGAACTGAACTTGAATAACAAAGTAATTGTGAATGTTACTTTCAAATATCAAAACAAATGCCCGGAGCAAGTAGAATCATATTGTTACAACTGCCCTCAGTTCTGTCTGATTAAATTATTATATCAGTTAGCTATTGTTGCATACAAATTTCCTAAAATAAAATTATTTAATGTAGTATCTTTATTATTAAATAAGGTGGTCCAGTAGGAATTTGCACTGAGCTCTGCAGGCTTCTCATTAGCCTATAGTCAGACTCAAACCTCTACCTTGTGTTTCTAAGGCTCATCCATGATGTTCTGTGTGGTTGTACTGTTCTTCTGACTTAAACCAATTTACGTCATTTTACTGTTTTGATATGGGCTTCCCAGGTGGCCCAGTGGTAAAGAATCCACTTCCCAATGCAGGCGACATAGGTTCAATCCTTGGGTGGGAGAAATCTGTTGCAGCAAAAACAGAAAAGAATGGATAGTCTTTGGCACTTACCAGCTAAACAGGCCTGCGAGAATTAAACAATCTTGGTTACTCTTTAACTGTTATTACTAAAAACCACTTACTAGACTTGTCCTTCACAAAGTTTCAAAAAAGTGAATTAATCTCTGACTCCATGTAGATTATACTCTGTACCTGGCATTCTTCACCCCTACACTATCTTGTAGCATTCTGCATTTCAGAAAGAAGGTCCTTGGACCAATAACTTCAGGGACATCACACTTGATTGCTGAGTTGTCTGATGCCAGCTGTAGCCATTTTGAAATTTTAAGAGAAAAATATGCAAGACCTTCATGAGGATATAAAACCTCTATTGCCTAGAGAGGAGGGCACAATTCTTGAGACAGAGGCCTGCTGGGTTTCCCTTTCACCTGGCAAAAATAATAAAACTACTCTTTTCTATTTCCTCCAAACTGTCTCCGTATGTCTACTTGGCATCAGTGAGCAGGGAGCCAAGACTTTGGTAACAGATCCCATGGAGTAGGAAATGGCAACCCACTCCAGGACTCTTGCCTGGGAAATCCCATGGACAGAGGAGCCTGGTGGGCTACAGTCCATGGCAGTCACAAAGAGTCAGGCACAACTTAGCTGAGCTGAGGCTAAATAGCTTGCAGAGAAAATGAGTTTAATAATTATGAATTGCCTTAATTTAATTCCACTACATTAATGTCCACTTAGGAAACTCTTCTTTATCCCATGCAGAGGAAATATCTCCCACCATCATGAGATCTGACTCAGCTACCTGTGCCCCAGGTCTTACCTTAACATACACACTAGAATTTTTAAATTGTAATAAATGTTATTAAAGCAGAGTTACACAGAACAAACTTTACTCACTTAAAAGTCATTAAAAAATTAAGTGTATGCTGCCTGGTTCCATTTCTATACCCCTTGGGAAGAAATATAATAATTTCACTACTTTGTTATGTGTATGCATGTGCATGCTCAGTCATGTCTGACTCTTTGTGACCCCGTGAACTGTAGCCCACCAGGCTCCTCTGTCCATGGGGATTCTCCAGGCAAGAATACAAGAGTGGGTTGCCATGCCCTCCTCCAGGGGGTCTTCCTGACACAGGGATCCAGCTCTTACCTCCTGCATCTCCTGCATTGCAGACAGAGTCTTTACCTCTGAGCCTTCAGGGGAGCCTTGTTTACTGTGGGTGTTTTGCAGCATTTCTTTTTCAATTACCATGTAACCAGGAGCAAAACAATCCCTGGTTGGAAATCACAATCCAAATTTTGAAAACCGGAAGCATCCTGTGAGAACCCAAATCAAGACTGCATCCCAAAACCAGTTCATCAGTTTCAGCAGAACAGTAAATTCCTCTGAGCCCCATTCCTGAAAGGAAGGATGGAGTTACAATAGTACTACCTCATAGAACGAACTTCTCTAAAAACTAAATCAGATCATCTTTATTATATGCAAAGGTAGTCTATGGGACATTAAAATATATATCTCATAACATAAACCTTTTACAATGAGTGAGAGGGTAACAGGCAGGAAAGCCAGGGGTCTCCAAACGGAGGAAATAGGCTGCAAGTGTAAGATATTTTTATCTCTCTTAAGCGGCAGGAGGAAACAGACTAGAGATATTTTTTTCCTTCTCTAGACAAATTTAAAAGGAGGTTTCTCTTAAAGTACTGTGTTGCCATAATGACACCTGGTTTCACCTGAAGTTAACTACTCTCAAACCTTGAGTTAATCAATGCATTTTTCTTATAAAAATGTTTGTCTTAAGCTATGTTAATGCACTATGCATTTACCCCAGACTCTGTCTTCAAGTCGGTTCGCCTAATGGCTCAGAACCTACTTGGCAAGCCATTATGTTATACTCAGATATTGTTCCCCTAATCTACATAAATGAAACTTATTTGTATGGTAATCTGCCCTTCTACAAGATTCAAGTCAATTGTCTTATGGCCCGGGATGAATCGTCTGGTGCCAAGATTATCCCAAAATGCATCTTACGGATGAGGGGGCTGATGCCATTCTGAGTTTTAAGACATTCCTTTCTTTTCATTAACAGACTGCTAGTGACTATATAACATCCAGCTGAAGACTAACAGGGGGGTACTCTTTCTGCCCACTTCTGATGCCTATGTCAGAAGCTTTCTCTATCTCCTTTATACTTTAATAAAACTTTATTACACAAAAGCTCTGAGTGATCAAGCCTCATCTCTGGCCCCGGATTGAAT